ATCATTCCTTATGATTTTTATTTCTGAGGCATCTATTGTAATTTGATTTTTTATTTTATGTGCATCTTCTCTCTGATTTTCTTAGAATAGCTAAGGGTTTGTCAACTTTGTCAAAAAACAGTTTTATTCTTTCTATGTCTTTTCTGTTCTCTATTTGACTTACTTCTGTTCTGATTTTTTTTTCTTCCTTCTGCTAAATTTGAGTTTAGTTACTCTTTTTCTAGGTTCTTGAGGTATAATAATAGACTTTATTTTTTTTGATCTAATTTAGGAGTTTATTACTATAAAGTTTAATACAGATGTTTATTGCTATAGAACTGGTTTTGTTGTATTCCACAGGTTTTGGTATGTTGTGTTTCCATTGTTGTTTGTCTCAGTATACTTAACAAAAATTTTTTTGACATATTTTTTCAGGAGCAAATTCACAAATATGTGGATGTTTAATATCCACATATTTGTGAATTTTCTAAGATTTCTCTTATGAATTTTTAGTAACATAGCACTGTGGTCCTAATACTAGACATGATTTTAATCTTAAATTTGTTAAGACTACATTGTGCCCTAACATATGCTCTATCCTGGAGAATGTTCCATGTGCACTGGAGGAAGAAAATGCATATTCTATTAATGTTAGGTGGAAAGTTCTGTGTATGTGTCTGTTAGGTCTGTTTGGCCAAAAGTACAATTCAAGTCCAGTATTTCCTTATTAATTTTCTGCTTGGCTCATCTGTCAATTGTTGAAAGCAGGGTATTAAAACCTCCTATTATTATTGTGTACTACCTATTTCTCCCTTCAAGTCCATTAATGTTTGTTTTATATATTTAGGTGCTCCAGTGTTGGGTGCAAATATATTTAGAATGCCTATTTCCACTTGATAATCTGATCCCTTTACCATTAAATAATGATGTTTTCTCATGACAGTTTTTGACTTAGAGTCTATTTTTATCACATTGTAAGTATAGCCACCCCTGTTCTCTTTTGGTTACTATCTCCATGGAATATCTTCTTCTGTCCTTTCACGTTCAGCTTATGTGTGTCTCTTGTAGACAGCATATAGCTGGATCTTGTTTTTCTTTTAATCCATTTAGTCACTATATATCTTTTGATTGGAGAATTTAATCCATTTATACACAAGATGATTACTGATAAGTAACAACTTCCCATTTGTAGTAGTCTATTCTTGCATTGCCATAAAGGAACACTAAATACTAGGTAATTTATAAAGAAAAGAGGTTTAATTGGCTCACATTTCTGCAGGCTGTAAAGGAAGCATGTCTCTGGCATCTGCTGAGCTTCTGAGGAGGCCTTAGGGTGATTTTACTCATGGCAGATGGTGAAGGAGGAGTGAGCACGTCATGTGGTGAAAACAAGAGAGAGAGTTGGGGAGAGGAGGTGCCACACTTTGCAACAACCAGATCTCTTAAGAACTCACTAATGCAAGGACAGCACCAAGCCATCCCACCTCCAACACTGGGAATTATAATTCAACATGAGATTTGGCAGGGTCATATATTTAAACTGTATCACTGTTAACTGGTTGCTTTGTAGCTCTTCTGTTCCTTTCTTCCTCTCTTGTGGTCTTTTGATGTCACAAGTTACATCTCTTTGTATTGTGTGTTCCTTGACAAATTATTTTAACTTTAGTTACCTTTGACCATTTTGACTCTTAACCTTCATACTAAAGTTATGTATGATTTACACACCACCATTATAATATTGGAATATTCTGGGTTTGACTATTTATCAATACTAGTGAGTTTTACACTTTCATATTTATTCATGATAGTGATTATCATCTTTTCACTTCTACTTGGAGAACTCCGTTAAGCATTTTCTGTAATTTAGGTCTAGCGGTAATAAATTGTCTTAGCTTTTTCTTGTCCGTAAAAGACTATCTTTCATTTCTAAATTACATCTTTGGTGGGTATACTATTCTTGGCTAGCAGGGATTTTTTCTTTCTTTTTAATTTACCACTTTGAATGTATCATTCATTTCTCTTGGCCCACAGGTTTCAGCTGAGAAATCCACTGAGAGTCTAACAGAGATTCCGTTACATGTGACTTGACACTATACTCTTGCTGCTTTTAAAATTCTCTATGACTTTTGACAGTTTGAGTATAATGTGCCCTGGGGAGGACTTCTTTGGGTTCACTCTTTTTGGGGACTTTTGAGCTTCATGGAATTAAATGTTCGTATCTCTACAAAGATTTGAGTTTTCAGCAATTATTTCATCAAATAAGCTTTCTGTCCTCTTTTTTGTTCCCCTTTTCTCTGAAACTCCCATAATGTGGATGCTTGTTTAATAATATCCTATACATCTCATAGACTGTTTTCACTCTTCTCATTTTTGTCTCTTCTGAGTCATTTCAAAAGATGTCTTGAAGTGCACAGATTCTTCCTGCTTGATCTAGTCTGCTGTTGAAGCACTCAACTGTATTTTTTATTTAATTAATTAAATTCTTCCACTCCAAGATTTCTATTTGGTTCTTTTTAGTGGTATCTATTTATTAAATTTCTCATTCAGGTCGTAAATTACTTTCCAGATTTCTGTGAATTGTTTATCTGTACTTTCCTATATCTTTCTAAGTTTCCTTAAGATAATTACTTTGAATTCCTTTTCAGGCAATTTGTAAAATTTTTCTGATCCATGAACACTTTTTTTCATGCTTGTTGGCTGCATATATATCATCTTTTGAGAAGTGTCTGTTCTTGTCCTTTGCTCCCTTTTTATGGAGGTTTTTCTTATAAAAAGTTTCTTGTAGACTCTGGATATTTAGTCCTTTGTCAGATGGATTAATTGCAAATTTTTCTCCTTTTCTGTAGGTTATTTTACTCTGATGATAGTTTCGTTTGCTGTGCAGCTGTTTAATTATTTCCCATTTGTCCATTTTGCTTTAGTTGCAATTGGTTTTTGGCATTTTTGTCATGAAATCTTTGCCCCTGCCCATGTCCTGAATGGTATCGCCTAGGGTATTTATATTGCCTTGGGTTTTACATTTAAGTCTTTGATCCATCTTGAGTTAATTTTTGCATATGGTGTAAGGAGGGGGTCTAGCAAAACTGGGTAACTTCTTAACAGATTTATTCCTTAAAGTTTACCTTTCATCTGAAATAAAATTCTAATAGTAGTTATTAAAATGCATTTCAGTCAAGTAAAGCTTAAGATGGCCAACATATGAAATGCAGTGGGCCTTCTTCATGTGTGTGTGTGTGTGTGTGTATATATATATATATAATTATGCAAATATATATTACTATACATGTGTAAGGTAATAATGTAACCAGTGTATTAAAAGCTGAAATAAATGTAAAATACCTACACCTTTCCCACAACCAATGGTATCCACTAAAGTCACCATTAAGAATTTCTTATATATCTTCTCTAAAATATTTCAGGTACACACATGTAAGCATCTGTTTCCTCACCTCACCCCCACCTATGTTACCTACTATTCTTGGTGTTTTTCACTTAGCAATATACATTAAACTTCATTCCAAAAAGCTAATTTTTTGTTGTTTTAAATAGCTGTATCATATTTAACTCTATTCCCCTATAATAGACGTTTAGATTGTTTCAGCTTTTTAGCTACCAGAAACAACTTTAGAATAAACATCTTCGGACATTAACCTCTGTATATCCACAGGGTATTTGCCTAGAAGTGCATTTTTCAAATTAAATAACATATGAAATTAACATTTTGAAAAAAGATTGCCAATATACTCTCCAAAACTAAATGTGCTATTTTCTGAAATGCAGTTGTTAAGAAAATGTATATTTAATTTATAACTTTTGAAACATCAAATAACATTAAAAATCCTAAGAAATCATCTGCCATTAACTCCATTAGCTATTTTAAATTATTTTCATAACTAAAAATAATTAAAAGTATGAGTGTTGAAGACAGACATGAGTTCATGTCCCAGATTTGGCATTTTGGACTTGTGTAACTTTTTTTTTTTTAAAGATATGGGGTCTTACTCTACTGCTCAGGCTGGAGTGTAGTGGCATGATGATAGCTCACTACATGATGATAGCCTTGACCTCTTGAGCTGAGGTGATCCTCCTGACTCAGCCTTCAAAGTAGCTGACTACACATGAATGCCACTATGCCAGGCTAATTTATTTATTTTCAAAATTATTTATTTACATGTTTTTAGAGATGGTCTTGCTATGTTCCTCAAGCTGGTCTTGAACTCCTGGCTTCAAGTGATTCTCCCACCTCAGTCTTCTGCATAGCTGAGATTATAGGCATGAGTCACAGTGCATGACCTGTGTGACCTTGAGCAGGCTATCAAGCAGCCTTGATTTTTGTCTTTTCTTTGCAAAATGGGGAAAATAATAGTTTCTGCTAATAGGGTTATTAAAATGTTTTTTGAATAGAATAGCCAAACAAAGCATGTGTTTAACTCATAATGTGTGACCTAATTAACAAACAATAAAAGCATATATCTGCTTATATTAAACAAACAAACAATGACTATTACAAATCTCCATGAATGAACTAATTTTTATTTTCTCTGAGTCTTGATTCCTAAGAATATAAAATCTTCACCAGAACTGCTCACAATCATGAAGTGTTGATTTCTGGGCAGAGATTACTATGAAATGCAATTCATTCAGGCTCAAAGTACCTTAGTAAATAATAAAATCCTAATTAAAAGAAGAGAACTTCTTTACAATGAAGAGATAGTGGTTTAAGTTTATAAAACTCCAATGTTATTGTATACTTCTCTACCTATGATAAAACCACTTCTAAGACAACATTTTAATAATATTGGCTGGTGATTTATCAACAATATTTACTTGAGAATGGCTATAAAAAGCAAACATAAAACTTCAATGTTGCAGCTGATTTCAAGCATTCCTTTTAATAGATCCTAAGTACCAATATTTTCCAGAGGTATGATCACCTCAAATCTTCTCTCTACATAGGAAATTGTAACCTGCTCAGTTTGAAACATCAGAAAACATTTAAAATAGCCACCACAAGATGTTTCTTTAGTTTAAAGGTCAAATTTATTAGGAGATTAAGAGATGTATTATACATGGACTATAAATACTGCACAGCTGACTTTATTCACAGTCAAGCACAGATATAGTCAGTGCCAACCTATTTTGTGGATACTCTTGTTCTTTTGTTCCAAGAAAAGTTTGCACCGTAAGACTTGGACTTGGGTTTTGGAACTCTCTTCTCTTCAACATCATAGCTCCATCCTAGGGGAAAAAACAAAGAAATCCCCAGGAACAGAATTAAAAAGGATACCTGAAAAGCCCAGCGAGCAGAGGCTAGCTTTTATAACTTAATGTTCATTTATCATCAAGAGTATATGTCAATACATCTGAAATATAAATACTTAGTATTTGTTCCCTTATAATCCTCTGTGAGAAAAGGGTACAAAAGATTGCCTGCAGATGATTTACCATATCTCAAGTTAGTTAAAGATATAAACGATGACTCAATTTCTCCTTGCTCAATTACTGATATCGATGCATTATGTATAAATTTCTTAATACTCTGTGGTTTAACATAGGATTTTAAAAACAGCTGCAATGAAGAGCAAAGAACAATGTAACCAATCACACTATTCTTCTAAAAGTTGGTTTATTTACAAGTCTGGAGTTCTTCCAAAGGGATACAGAAAAATATGTACACACACACACACACACACACACACATGTACGTGTGTGTGGGTGTGTACTACATAGTTGAAGTGAACCATGAGAGATTATTTGTTTCAATCCCTTGGACTTGGACAGGCTGATTAAACTTGAAAAGATTTTCAACATTTGTTTCAAGAGCTATCTTCAGTAGGTGGAATCACATGGGAGTACCTGATAAACAGTGCAAATTGTTAGGCCTGCCCAAAGGCCCACTAGATCAGAATCTCTGATGGAGGCCCAGGAAACTACATTTTAACTATCAATTCCAGGAGATTTTTATGCTTTAAAAAGTAAGGACCACTAATCAAAGCTGTCTATTCTCTTCTGAGTATTTCTATTTTCCTTCCAAAGCCATTTTAGTATTTTGTAATTTTGAAAACTGGGTATATGTATGTCTACATTTTCTGCATCAAGTCCTATTCTTCAGTTCTCCTAAAATATGGGAAACAAATCAACATCCTCCTCCTTAAATATATAATTAAGCCATTCTTTTATTCCCTAAGCTAGGCAACTGCTATAACATTCACTTTTCTTCATAAAAATCTGTTTTTCCACACCTGTAATTTATCCTTATTCTCTCGGGACTTTTATTCAAATAACTCATCTTGAAACATCGAATTCATGGCTGTATCATGCAGTCATGTACAAAATGTCCAAAATGTGATTATTATATCGTCTAATTAAGTGATCTTCTTGATCTTGGTGAGTATAGTACTTTCTGCCACAAAGTTTACATCTCAATAGTCCCTTAGTTAGTATTCAGTTTTACCACAGAAGTTAAGCCTATGAGACTCAACTCATCAAAGTATACTACTGCTACGGTACACAAAGGAAAATAATAACATTTAACATAGTATTTTAAGCTTTTAATCTATTTTATCCATAATATTACATTCCCAACTGCTGAAACTCCATCTCTAAAGGAAGTCCAATAACTATAAGGAAATGGGGAAGCAGGAAAGCAAATGAAACATCCAAGTCCAGGAGAGAAAATATTAATTTACTTGCTCAGCATAACCTTCCTTTCAAAGAGTAAAAAATATGTTTTGAGAACTTTTTTATCCATTTAAAAGTTACAAAGCTATAGCCAACTTTAATAGAATCTAGACTTATAAAGTAACTATGTTAACAAGCAGTTATCTCCATTTCCAAAAACTTACTAAAGGGCATAAAAAAAGTTTGTATTTTATAAACTTGTCACAAGAGTTAAAGTACATGTCTTGGACTTCACAAGGAGGTCATAATTCATGTAAAGTGCTCAGAAAGCACCCCAATTTACAATCACTTATTGAGTTCTATGAGAAAAGCACTTTTACTAAAACCTTTATATGAAGTAATATTATCCCTTGTACAGCTGAGTAAACTGAGGCTCAGAGAGGTTAGGTAACTAGCACAAGGTCACTCAGCCAAGAAGCAGCAGAGTCAGGATTTAAACATAGATGGCTAGATTCTGGAGGCTACGCCTTACCTATTATGCTACATCATCTCTTGTGATTTATAGTAGGCACTCAATAAATGATAAGTATGATTTGGTCTTCAAATTTGATTCACAACTTCCTAGCAACACATCTCTATATAAATTTCCATCACATTAGAGCCCACTACATTTGAATTTGTGATGTTTCGGGTATAGCAAGCCATAATCTAACCTAGTTTTTTTTTTTTTTTTTTTTTTTTTTTTAAGACGGAGTCTTGCTCTGTCACCAGACTGGAGTGCAGTGGCATGATCTTGGCTCACTGCAGCCTCTGCCCACCAGGTTCAAGCGATTATCCTGCCTCAGCCTCCTGAGTAGCTGGGACTACAGGTGCGTGCCACCACGCCCAGCTAATTTTTGTATTTTTAGTAGAGACAGGGTTTCACCATGTTGGCCAGGATGGTCTCAATCTCTTGACCTTGTGGTCCGCCTATCTCGGCCTCCGAAAGTGCTGGGATTACAGGCGTGAGCCACTGAACCCAGCCCTAATCTAGTTATTAACTACAGAAAGGGGTTTTGGTAAGCAAATCAATAATGTGATCTGAGCATAATAACTTTAAAATTATAAACTTCTTAAGCACTTCCCATATTAACCAGCAAATGATGCTGATAATTACAGAAAATATTCAATTTAATAAAGGAGGTACAACAATATTTACAAAGCATTGCCATTCATTTAATAAATATTGATTGCCAATTCCATCTTAGAGACTGTTTTTAGACAGTGGAGGTAGACTAATGAAGAAAACAGAAAAATTTCCTGAACTTCTTCAAGTTAGTAGGGGAAGAAACGTTAGTAAGTATATAGTAGGTGCCAACATAGTAATACCTAAATTATAAAATGTGTATTATATGCCAATGAGCACTAAGGAGAAAACACTTAAGATGGGGTATATAGGGGAGCCCTCCCTCTCTGAGAAGTGGGCAGAGAACAGTAACTGCAAAGGCGCTGAGGCAAGAGCACTCCTGGTGTACCATGCAGTATGCCCTAGGCCCCATGCTGAGTGCTTTAAATACATTTTTATTGAAATTTTATGTATGGAGTTTATAGGTTGCATAGCTATAAATAAGGGAGGCATTATATATACCTTAATTTTATATTAACTTATAAGAAAAAATATAGCACAGAGAAAATAAAGTCACAAGGCTAGTAAGTGACAAAGCCAGGATTTTTACTAGCCTAAAGTCACAAGGCTAGTAAGTGACAAAGCCAGGATTTTTAACCCAGACGGACTTCAACAGCTACATACTTCATTAATAAAACTGCCATTCCTTTAAAAATACCCTGCAATTACAAATTTTATCTATTTCATTCATTTCCTTTTATTTGAAAAAGTATGCTGAAAAGACTTTTAAGAATTCCTGGAAAATAAATCTATGTTCCACATATTCTCTCCTACAATTGTGAGGAAGGAAATGTTTTCTAGTGTAGATTCTGTATTTGGTTATAATGATCGATGACAAATTAACCCAAGACCTCCATAATCTTTTCTTGACAAATGATAGGTAAAAAACCTAAGTTCTCCCTCCTCTCACTACCTCCCAACACACACTCTCTAGATCAATCAAGACATTAGGAAAGAAACTGCAGAAGAAATGAGAAAGCACTCAAATATTTAGGAACTAGTACTATACACACAAACACAAACCTGATAATCACTCTCTAATTCGCTCAATTACTCTTTCAGCCACCAGGGAGAATTCTTTTTACTTCATCAGATCTCCAACACAGATCTATTATCTATTCTGGTTATGAAGTTTCCAAATGCAGTCAGGGTCACTGCAACGTGAGAAGAACGAAGTTTTATACACATAAAAGAACAACTGGTTGGGGTTTTCTCCTGGTAACTAAGGAGTGAGCTGGCTCCTGGGAATTGTGAGCCAGATTACAGTTGCTGCTGGTGGTGATAACAACAATAAATAGAAGTATCATGACAGGGATTGGAATGTGAATGGTCAAAGCACCCTGAGAAAAACAAATAAAAAAAATACATAGAAGCAGCCTGCATTTGCTAATAGGATCCACCTCCATATAATTACCACTGGCCACTCATGATTTTTAGGATGTGTAAGGCAAAAAATTTATTATCTTTCCATTTTTTTTTGTGGCAAACAACTTGTTTCTAAAGTTGTACATGCAACTGTGCTTCTCTAAGTAAATGCAAAGGAGTGTATGAGGAAGTCCAATGACAATTCACAATAGAGACAAACTAAAATCAGAATCCCTTTTGATTTTCTGTTCATTATTCAGAAAACTTTTCTATTATGTAGGGCTGTCATCATAATAAAAATTTGCTGTTTTTTGAGATACTGTAAGAATCTGATCACATTTCCAAGCATTCTCCTCCAAAGTAGTTATCTTACAGTGCCTGGATAAACAAATTTACTGGTACCACTATACTTGAATATGAAGGTTACCTGAGCAAATGGTGAGGTTGAGCTAAAAAGATAAGACTCTAAGAATAACAACACTTGAAAGGACATTAAGCATGTGTGCTTAAGAATGGGTAAGTTAGATGAATTGTACTCATCTTTTCTACTTCCCATTTGAAACTTGTTCCTAAAATGAAAGAATATCTTGCAAGAAATAAAATATAGGTATGAAATGTTTTAAATTCTCTAAGAGTATCTTTTTTTAACTCTAATTTTTTTTTTTTTTTTTTTTTTTGGTTAAAGAAAGAGCCCAAACTTGTTTTTCTGAATGGGAATATGGAAGTGAAAACACTTGCACTCTCTGAAGAATGCTTATATAAAATGAAGGTGTAGTCTACAATCACAATGGTCCAATATGTTGTCCTCTTAGGGCACTGAAAAGTAGCCCTTGCTCTTCCCAGCTGTGCAACAGAAGATCAAAGCAATGGAGTCCAAGGCAGCTGCCCCAGAGATGGGTAGAGCTCCTACTGCTGCCGTCACTTCCTAGAGGAGAGTAGCCATATGACACAGATTTGCCACAAACCCAACTACCAGCACCTAAATGATGACAAGCTGACTCCCTTTGCTGTTTCACATACTGAAACACTTTCACAAAAATATTTTGAACTTTAAGCCCTAGTATCAGAGAAGTAACTTTGGAAAATG